GGATGAACATGATGGACAGATGTCACCACGAGCACATCTGTCCACCCAGTCTTATCCACCATGAGTAGGCTGTCGCTGAGACGTTACTGAAAGTTTGAAGAGTGAGAATTGAGCAAACAGCGAAGGATCTGAAAAGTCAGAGGTTCTGATTTTGGCAAAACCTTCAAACTACAGTCGCTCTGTGGTCAGTGCCTCGGTCTTCTAATCCTGAAACTGCAGGTTTGAGCCCAGGTTTGTTGTTGAACATTTGGCATAAAAATCCCACAAATCTTTCATGGGAGTTTGTCTGCTGTGGTGCTGTGTAATTTTATTTTGCAGTCTCCCTTATTGTGGCATTTTTCAGTAAAGACGATTCACATTTTGTTTGAATCAGTAGGTAAACTTCTCTCTGCACAGACCAAAAACAGACTATTGTAATGTGTTGTCTTTTTATAATAAAAAACTAATTGTAATTAAATATTAAGGAGAGTTATTTTTTTACTAAATGTTTTCATCTGCAACACAGTTTTTAATACACTTTTGAGTCAATACTTTCAGTCAGTGGGCCTGTATACAGGGCTACAGATGCTCACTGTGCTGTTTGACGATGTAGTGTGTACCACACTCAACATGGACCAGAGGAAGTGAAGGAAAGAGTTGTCTCAGGAGATTAGAAAGAAAATTAGAGACAAGCATGTTAAAGGTAAAGGTTATAAGACAAGTATGTTAAAGGTAAAGGTTATAAGACAAGCATGTTAAAGGTAAAGGTTATAAGCAGCTTGACGCTCCTGTGACTACAGCTGCACATATTCAGATATTTAAGATCCATGGGACTGTAGCTAACCTCCCTGGACGTGACCGCAGGAGGAAAATTGATGACAAGTTAAAGAAAAAAATCAACATACATATCTTGGGAAAATAATAAAAACTATATTTAGCTTTTATTTGTAATAAGCAAAACAATCAAAAGATAATCTCTGACACTCAAATTAACCTAACCCACATATAGAAAGGCATGTAAAGAAGGAAATAGATGCAGTAAACACATCTATATCCATGCACAGAAAGAGCGAAGCAACATGATACTGTGTCAAAGAGAGACATGCAAAAATACAGCTGCCTCTGCAGAACAACTTCCAAGCTGTGTTGGGAACACAGCCTGAAATGCTGTCTGGTTTCGTGGAAGAATGGTAAAATTTTATGTTTACTAACCCTTCAAACCAGTGAGTCTTTCAGCGAAGCGAGTCATGTCTGCATGAAATTCATGTGTATTTTTCTTGTCGAGGCTTGAATCAGCCTGGATGTTTTGACAGTCCCGCAGCGTTCAGGGTGTGGCCCTCTGCCGCCAGCATGAGATGAAGGCTCCTACCCCCAAAGGGTTGCCTCTCCCACAGGCACGCTTCACAGGCGAACAGGCGGCACATCAAAGGACTCTTATCTCATCCATCTTCACACTTAATAAAAAAATTAAACAAGCCAGCTGCTGTTCCGGTTAAAAAAGACACAATCTTTTAAAAACTACAAAAACAAAGTTAGATTCATATTGATATTTTTAGATTTATGTATTTGGGACTCTGAGATAGGATTTTAACTTACTGTCAACAAACCTCATAAAAACAAAATCTTAATGGGGAATGTGCCACTGCTGGATGCAATTTATCTGAATGTTTCATCTGAAGCACATCAGAAAAGCTGAATGTTTGGTGCAGATATTTTTGAGTTTTAGGTTTCGAATATTTGCTAAGCTAATAAATAATTAAATCACATAAAGATTAACTATAAACAAATTTGAACGATTAACATCTAATATGTCAGTGACTGAGTACTGTTATTTTTATTTAATATGTTTTAGGTTTTTACCTGTTTGTGTTTTATGAAAATATCTGATGAACTACTTGACAAATTTCAATGAAAGTTGCGAGTAATAAATAGATGCACTTTTGAAGTCAGCCTGATTCAAAACACCTGTCACAGCCAACTTATCTGAAAAGCAAGGGTGGATGGATGGATGGATGGATGGATGGATGGATGGATGATGGATGAATGGATATATTGATGGATGGATGGGTGAATGGATGTATTGATGGATGATGGATGGATGGAGGGATGGATGGATGGGTGGATGGATGGATGATAAATGGATGGATGTATCATGGATGGATGGATGATGAATGGATGTATGGATGAATGGATGTATTGATGGATGGATGGATGGATGAATGATGGATGAATGGATGTATTGATGGATGATGGATGGATGATGATAATGATGGATGGATGGGTGGATGGATGATGGATAGATGGATGATGGATGGATGAACGTATGTATTGATGGATGATGGATGGATGGATGAATGGATGTATTGATGGATGATTGATGGATGGATAATGGATGGATGGATAAATGTATGTATTGGATGATGGATGGATGGATGAATGGATGGATTGATGATTGATGGATGGATGATGGATGGATGGATGAATGGATGTATTGATGGATGATAGATGGATGGATTATGGATGGATGATGGATGAATGGATGTATTGATGGATGATTGATGGATGGATGATGGATGGATGGATGGATGAATGGATGTATTGATGGATGATTGATGGATGGATGGATGATGGATGGATGGATGGAACAGGGGTGAATAGAGGGGCTTGTGGAGTTACAATAAGTAAGAATTTGAAGCATTTATATTGACCCCAACTGAATGATTTAAATGTGAAAAAAGGATTTAAAAGCATGATATGTCCACTTTTACAAAATTATCAGGAAATAACCATTGGATTTACAACTGATTAACTTCCAAAGCCAATCCAATTCAGTATGACCTCTACAGATAAACAACACAAATACTGCTTCAAATGAGCCAGTTCTACAGATCTCGAGTTAAAATTTCATGGTGAAAAGTCATTTACGACATATATTGTCAAACAGGGCCCCAAATGTAAAATGAAATGTTAGAAATTTTCACGAACATTTTTTTTTCATTGCAGAGTACAACATCTCCGCTGCAGCCATCTCCATCTTCAGCCTGGCCTTCATGATCCTGGGCTCTCTGTGTCTGCTGGGATCATGTACCGGGAAAGGCAAAGGAAGAGACTACCTCCTCAAACCTGCTGGCATGTTCTTTGCATTTGCAGGTGGGTTTCATATCCCCAATAAAACTGCACGTTTCCTAAAGAAAAGAAGCCCAGTCCTGTATTGTGTCGGTGCTGTCGGGTCAACACTGGAACGTGCACAGATGTTACTGAACGCTGACTCACATTTCTCCCTCAGGCATCTGCGCTTTCATCTCTCTGGAGGTGATGCGTCAGTCGGTCAAGCGCATGATTGAGAGCGAGGACACCATTTGGATTGAATACTACTACGCCTGGTCCTTCGCCTGTGCCTGTAGCGGCTTCGTCCTTCTCTTCGTCACTGGCATCACGCTCCTCGTCCTCTCCATGCCCCAGATGCCCAGGAATCCGTGGGAGACTTGTATGGACGCCGAGCCGGAGCAAGTGGAGTGACGCTGGACGGGCAAAGCACAACCAAGGATGGGTCTGACTAAAGCTTGGAGCTCAGATGTTGGATTTGGTTTGAGAACAAGAATGTTTTACATCAAAAAATTAAATAAGGGAGACTTCTTGGTGTTTTGTGGATCATGGCCATCTTAATGAAAAGGGGCTTTCAATGTGCTCAGTATTCTGTAGGCTCAAACTGCAAAACCTACCACCTCATGTTGAAGAACCCAAATCTGACTCAAAATCCACTTTTTAAAAAAAAAAAGGTCATCCACATTTAGAAACACAACAGTACCACCTCTTTATGTCCTAGCTCATTTTTCAGAACTGATTTGACAAATATGTGATTATGAAGAGACCACGGTGAGCTCCCATGTGTCACTGTCAATCATGTTTTGGGTAAAACTCAAAGGGATAGTTCAGACTTTTAAAACTGGTTCTGTGAAAAGGTTGCGAGCAAATAATATCTTACCTGCTGTAGAATACTCTGAATAACGTAAAGCCTGGTTCACGAGGTAAGATTTTGAAACAGTTGGCTGATATTCAGACCATCTCAAAGGCTCATTGCCCTCAGGGAACACCACACGTTGTGATATCAGGCCGAGACAATACAATATATTGAATATTCCCCATTTGAGACCGGAGTGGTCCTGATGTCCTTTTGAGCTGACTAGATCACTCTTAACGCACCACACTGCAGGAATATCTCAGATTATCTTTAGAGCCATCAAGATAATCGGGCGTCCTTACGATTGTCGGAAGGTCAGAATCGGGTTAAAAATTGGCACAATAAACTTGCCGTGTGAACCAGGGATTAGTTTGAAACAACTGAGCGATTACATCGAGTGGACTGTAAACTATAGTGGACTGCTGCCAAATGAAAACTCATTCTCAAAAACTTCATATTTTTTGCAAATGCTACAAGCCTCAATAAATACTTATTAAAATAAAATGCTAGTTGATTAAAAATCCAACTAGTGGTGGCAACACATAACTATAGGTCTTCAGCAGGGGTAGTTGTGCGATGTAAAACTGACTGCTACAAAAATGTATAAAATAGCATTTACGGGAATTACTCCCTGCTTACACTAGTCCTTAGCTCATCATTCTGGTCAGAATTATCCTCAGCTCAACCAAATGGAGTTACCGACAACAGGTAAGATATTAACTATATACTTTCCACAGAATCACACTTTAAATGCTGTGAACTTTTTTTTTGTTTAGGATTTAATGGTCAAATGAAATGTTCCATCTCATGTAAACTGTACATAAATATCTGTATTTTGTGTTTGACATCACTCAGCTAGTGTCAAATTATTTATTTTACATCCCCAGTTTTAAGAAAGCAGCTTTGTGGATAACGAATGTTAAGATTTTAAAGAAAACCGGTTGCTTTTTGTGAGTTTTATGCGCGTGTAGCAGGCTGAATCTTAAAACCCCCGCAGTCTGCAGCACCGACCGTGTTGGAAAAGGTTCAGCTCTTGCAGGTGCACATACAAGGCTTCTTACAGCTCAAACCAATAAACGTGAAAAGTGAATTTAAGTTTAAGTTCCAGCCCCGTTTATTTGAAACGTGCTTGGATTTTAATTATTTTTGTAATGGGGTAATTTAAACAAAGAATTTCAAGACGTCACTCCTTTCAAATCTGGAACAAATTCTAGCTAAAATATGAACGAAATCATTTCATTTGCAGTTTAAGGCTATACTTCTCTTTAGGTGTAAAGGCCAGTTCAGGTGGATAAGCTGCAGCTTTACAAGGAAACAGTTTCTGAAGATAGAATTATGGAAAATATATTGGCGGCGTTTGACAAAAACTGTTGGTTCAGCTTGAGGAAACAGAAAACTTTACTTGAAATTTTCTATAAAATTGTAAAATAGGAAAAGTTTCTCAGCTTTTATTTTCACATAATCAGCAGTGTGAATGTCTAACAGAAACTTTTGTACAGCACTCTGGTTCTATATGGTTCTGCTCAGAGCTGCAGTCACCAGTTTATAAAGGTAAAAATGTGCTACTTTTCAGTTTTTATGGTCTGATCATTTATAACTTAAACTGCTGTATACAGTATCAGTAAATAATTAAGACATCAATTTCATCTGAGTGTTTAATTTTTCACTGGTATTAGTTTTTTTTAGTATTTGCTTTTGTTCCCCCACCTAATTTGGCATGCAGGTGAGTTCTGAAATGTGGCCAGTTTTGGATTTTCTTATTGCCACAACTTTGTAAAGAAAATAAAACCTTGAAAAGCTTTGAAAAGTGTTTAAAGTGTTTTTTTAAAAATATGAGAGAAAAGGTTCTTGCAGATTTAAGCAACACAGAAGCAGTTCCAGCACAATGGATTCTTTGTGCTTTCAGAGGAAAAACAAACAAAAAAAACCCAACTCAGGCAGTTTCAATAAAAACACTTTAATAGAGAAACAATAGAAAAAAAAACTTTAAAACACAGCGTAAATTATTGGATACAACCATCAACTGAAATGAATATTCAGAATTTTGAACCCATGAGGGAGAAACCAGTGGGGCTGGGAGAACAGGTGTGCCATTGATTCACTGCAGCGACGGGAAGAACAGAGGAGAAGAGACGACAGGAAACCAGGATGCTTTAGAGAGAAAGGCTCAACACAGCGCTCTCTGCTGGCTGGGCAAAAGGTTGCTCCCTGACTCATGTGTCACACTCAAGTTGGCTGCACGCAAAGGCAAAAATAACCGTTTATTGTGATAAAGTTCATTATTTTCTGTAATGAACTGATAAACATCAAACTTTATGTTTTAGCTTCATTGCACACCAATTGAAGTAGTTCAAGCCTTTTATTGTTTTAATATTGATGATTTTGGCAAAAAAGTAAAGAAAAATCAAAAATTCCTATCTCAAAAAATTAGCATATCATGAAAAGGTTCTCTAAACGACTTATTAACCTAATCATCTGAATCAACAAATTAACTCTAAACACYTGCAAAAGATTCCTGAGGCTTTTAAAAACTCCCAGCCTGGTTCATTACTAAAAACCACAATCATGGGTAAGACTGCTGACTGCTGTCCAGAAGGCCATCAATGACACCCTCAACAAGAGGGTAATGGTGCGTTCACACCGAACGCGATTTCAGCGTCAGGAGCAGCAGGTTTACATACAAAGTCTATGGTGGACGCGCTTCAAGCAACGTCGGGAAGTTCTGCGGTGCCTCAAGTGCGATTAGAGCAGCGCGATTTGAACGATTTGAACGATCTGAGCATTCGACGCGCTGAGGCGCAAATCGCTGAAGTTAGAAAATCTGAACTTTTGCAGCTCGACGCGCAGCATCAACCAATCAGAGAGACTCCACTGTGTGGATGTAGTGACATATTTCCCGACGGGACAGTTTACTGAATGATGTCCACTAACCTGAAACAGACAGAGCTCCTGCTCTTTAGCTGAAATGAGTGCTGCAGTCGTGTCCTGATCCGCACCAATGCGTGGCAGCGACTCATCAGACTGAAAAAAATAGTCCTGAAAGCGAGCTGTGAGCCTCTTCTCTGAATTATCTGGTGAATTAATTATGAATTAATTATCTGATGAACGTGACGTGCTCTGGCTCTCTGTAAATAAAGCAAAGCCACTTCCTCGTCCGACATTAAACAGCCCCACAGAGGAGGGAGGGGCGGGGCGGCTGTCGCCGTGCAGCGCAGCTGTCCTGCGTCTGACCTCAAAGTGCACAAGCTTCAAACTTCAGCGTTGGCTGCGATTTTGACGCTGAAATCGCGTTCGGTGTGAACGCACCATAAGACACAGAAAGACATTTCTGAACAAATAGGCTGTTCCCAGAGTGCTGTATCAAGGCACCTCAGTGGGAAGTCTTTGAGAAGGAAATAGTGTGGCAGAAAACGCTGCACAACAAGAAGAGTTGTCAGTCAGTGATGGTCTGTGGTGCCATGTCAGCTGCTGGTGTTGGTCCACTGTGTTTTATCAAGGCCAGGGTCAATGCAGCTATCAGGAGATTTTGGAGCACTTCATGCTTCCTTCTGAAAAGCTTTATGGAGATGAAGATTTCATTTTTCAGCACGACCTGGCACCTGCTCACAGTGCCAAAACCACTGGTAAATGGTTCACTGACCATGGTATTACTGGGCTCAATTGGCCTGCCAACTCACCTGACCTGAACCCCACAGAGAATCTGTGGGATATTGTGAAGAGAAAGTTGAGAGACACAAGACCCAACACTCTGGATGAGCTTAAGACACAAGACCCAACACTCTGGATGAGCTTAAGGCTGCTATTGAAGCATCCTGGGCCTCCATAACACCTCAGCAGTGCCACAGGCTGATTGCCTCCATGCCACGCTGCATTGAAACAGTCATTTCTGCAAAATGATTCCCAACCAAGTATTGAGTGCAGAACTGAACATAATTATTGATTTTTTTGTATTAAACACTTTTCTTTTATTGGTCGGATGAAATATGCTAATTTTTTTGAGATAGGGATTTTTTTCTTTACTTTTTTTTTTGCCAAAATCATCAATATTAAAACAATAAAAGGATTGAACTACTTCAGTTGGTGTGCAATGAATCTAAAATACATGAAAGTTTAATGTTTACCAGTACATTACAGAAAATAATAAACTTTATCACAATATGCTAATTTTTTGAGAAGGACCTGTGTTGTGGAAGATGTCAAATAGAGCTGAAGAAGGTTTGATTACTTTAATTTGAGGTATGCACTAATAATAATAAAAACACAAGAAATGAACACTGCAAATGAAATCTCTTTAAAAGTCTTTGGCTCGATTTCTTCTGTTTGAACAAATAAAGCCGTGTCGAGATTCGCAAACAGCTGATTTGTGGAAAACTGACACAATCACCAGGGAGCAACCTCAGCTTTAGCCCTTCTTAACTGCAGGAAAATAAAGGGAAACTCATACGACCAGTAAAATACTTTGTCTTTTAAAAGAAAGTAACGTAAAGGTTTCGCTGATAATGTCACAAGTCCTTGTTCACATCAAATGATATACTGAAAATCAGGCTTCGCTTCATTTCATGTTTTATACACAAATCAACATAAAGTGATGAAAACAGGGAGAGTAATAAAAACAGAGCCGGGGCATCTCATCATGCATCCAAAGAAAGACTGACTACACATTTAGAAAATTAATCCTTGTTGATTGTTGTTTAGCTGTGGTGAGAAAAACAAAACAAAACAAAAAAAGGAACAAAAAGAGTCCAGCAACGTGTTCTGTCAAAATACGAACTGTACAGTGATTACGTCGTCTCATAACGGTGCAACATACATCACCGCCCCCCTGCCAAATAACACCACCTTAACAAAACAAGTCTATAAAGTTACAAGATGGTTCAACTACCAACCAGGTTGTTGTTGTTCATTTCTAGATTTTTATTTTATTTTCGATTTTTATTTTTTATTTTTTGTGAATTTGCATAATTAAAAAGGGCATGCCTCTTCTTTTAAACAGCTTCTATAAAACCAAGGCGCTCCCAAAGGTTTTTGTTTTGTAAATACATAGAAAATGCATATTTACAAGTGTGTGATCTCTGCTCAGTCAAAAAAATAATAATAGTAAAAATTAAAAAGGTAAAAACCGGAAACTAAAACAAAATGTGGTTTCACCGAAGCTCTCTGACTGAAACACGTGAGAAACGAGAAGTTTACGAATGACGTAAAAAAAAACGTCATAAAGTCTGCTGATTTTAGGTCGACTTGAAGCATCAACGCAATGTCTTTTTCCTGTTTCACCTGAACGGTGTTAATTCATGTGTTCATATAACAATTTGACCTCCTCGTTTGTAAAATCCAGTAAGAAGCAACATGCTGACGGATTTTAAAACAAAAGCATTAATTTAGGAGACTAAAAAGTGTCCTTGGCGAAAACAAATCACAGCAGCTTAAAAGAAATGTTCAGCTGCTTTAACATTATTTAAAAATTTAATAACACTAAATAAAAAGGAAAATTTGATTCAGAACAACTGCAACATTACAAATTCATTCTTAAGTCAGCAAATCCTAAAAAAATAAACATACTAACAGTCAAGAGTTTTTGAACCACTTCCAAGTTTTTGTTTGTTTTTATTCTTTTCTGGAAATGGTTTAACTTTTTTTAAATACGCTGAAGAAAAAAAATACGAGCTTGAAAAGCATTTTTAAAACTTAGCGTGATGCAAATGTATCAGATTAAGAAAGAAATGGGTAATATAACTATGATAAACTGCATATTACTCATAAATAAAATACTCTTGAAAATGAAACAAAATGAAAAAAAGCTACAGTAAAATATCTAAAGATAACAGCTGTGGTGTTTGAAGTGATGCATCAGAAACTGTCAGATTTAAAGCCATAAAAACACAGAAACAAACTAATGAAAAATAATGTGACGCAGTGAAAACTGAGCTACACTGTAAAATGTGTTGTAAAATACACTGTGAGGCTACTTAAGGTTAAACAAATTTACTCAAGATCCTTGTTATAACCACTTTTATGGAGAGTTTCTTAACTAAATGTTAGATTCTGTCAAAATTCTACAGAAAGTGTTTATAAAAAGGTTCATTATAGTGAAACTGGACATTTCAAAGGTTTATTTGAAAGTAAAAGCAGATTAAATTAAATGGTAAATGGACTGTACTTATATAGCGCCTTTCTATCCATCCAGGACACTCAAAGCGCTTCACACTACAGACATTCACCCATGCACACACACATTCACACACTGATGATGGCAAACTACAATTACAGAAGCGAAATTAGATAACACTGATGCTGTGCATTACTTTTTTTTTATTTTTCTGCCTTTCATAAAAAGTGTGTGAATCTTTGAAGAAAATATTTATACGATATAAAGCAAAATAAAAGAAATAAAACATTTTCTGAAGCTTTCACAGATCGCTAATCTTGCTTTGAAATTATGACAAAACTATTGAATGCAATAAAACTGAATGTACTTTAAGACACGTATTTTACTGGCTTTATATGTTGCAAAATACTACTCAGGTTAACGTTTGAAGTTAATAAAAATAAAAACTCTAAGCGGGACTAACCGGTTGCTGGGTTGAAACGGGTTTAAATTTGACTGAAACGACTGCGACTCAATGACGAGGTTTTAAAACAGCTAAAAATGTTTCACACACCGACATGTGTTATTTCCCTCATTTTCAGAGCGTTTAACCCTTGAGCGTAGCACATGTGACGCCTTTAATGTAATTCTATTTTTGTGTGTTCAAAAACATTTGACTGGAAGTGATGATTCCAATGAAGTTATGACACACTGCTCAGACC